GTTATCACCAACAACATTGACGACTGTATCAACAACGTCACCAACAATATCAACAGCTGCATCAACAATATCACCATCAGCAACGTCATCACCAACACTAACAACGGGCACATCAACAACGTCACCAACAACAACATCGACAACTGCATCAACAATGCCATCACCAACAACGGTTATATCAACAACGGCTATATCAACAACGTCACTACTAACAACATCAACGACTGTATCAACAACCACTGGTGAGTGTTATGTTAGATGATTTGTAGCGCCTTACATAGATATCTAATTGATTATTTGTACGAATGGCTTAATTTTGAAGTTTTAGTTTTCCCTACTGAATGTTCCCAACCTAGATACATAACTAAAGAGAATATGTCTTATCCATAAACATTTTGAATGAATCCGCGATAGATTCTCTTCCTAACAGTAACTTTTTCGACCTGTGTTCTCCAGTGGTTTCTATTAGAACTTCTGATAAGGATGTGGGTGTGGGTATATAGAAGAAGAAGAAGATACCCTCAAAAAAAAGCTCTGATATAGTTATTCTTCCTAATCAGACAGAAGCTAATAACATTATTTTTTTCGTTATAGCTCCATGCATCAATAGATTTCCGACACAAGTGACGTATTCGACTGGTAATGGCTCTGGACCGTATCCTGTTACAGTAGGCGATGTCAGTGGAGACGGCAAGCCGGATATTATTGTCACAAATTACAAAATAGGCACAGTCGGTGTCCTTCTTAACGCAGGCAATGGCACGTTTTTGGCACAAGTGGCCTATCCGACTGGTACTACTTATGACACATGGTCAGTGTCACTAGCTGATATGAATGGGGACAGCAAACTGGACATTGTTGTTGGAAACGCCGCTTCAAACAATATCGGTATTCTTCTTAACACAGGTAATGGTACGTTTGGTGCTCAAGTTACCTATTCAACCGGCAGTGGCTCTCATCCGTATTCAGTGGTAGCAGTTGATGTCAATGGAGATAGTAAACCGGATATTATTGCCGCAAACTACTATTTAGGCAATATCGGTGTTTTTCTCAATACAGGTAATGGCACGTTTGGTGCTCCAGTAACCTATTCAGTTGGTAGTAGTCCATTTTCTATTACAACAGCCGATGTCAATGGAGATGGCAAACCCGATATTATTGTCGCAAATACCGGTTCAGACAACGTCGGTGTCCTCTTCAACATAGGTAATGCTACATTTGGTGCTCAAGTCACCTATTCAACCGGCAATGGTTCTGAACCATATTCAGTGGTAGCAATTGATGTCAATGGAGACAACAAGCCTGATATTATTACCGCAAACTACAATGCATTCAACGTCGGTGTCTTCCTCAATACAGGCAATGGTACGTTTGTTGCTCAAGTCACCTATTCAACTGGTGCTAGCTCTTACCCATATTACGTGTCAGCTGGGGATGTTAATGGTGACAGCTATGCTGATATTGTTGTTGCAAATTATTGGGCAGATAACGTCGGTATTCTCCTCAACATGGGTAATGGTACGTTTACTGTTCAAGTGGCTTATTCAACCGGCTCTTGGTCGGAACCTTACTCTGTGAGAGTTGCCGATGTCAATGCGGACGGCACACTCGATATCATTGCCGGCAACTATTATGCAGACAATATCGGTGTTTTCTTATCAAATTGTGGCTGATCATGAAAATGAACACCGCATATTCAATATAGAGACCTGCGAGGCTAAACATTCTGACAGCCTGGAACTTGCCCTGCCTTGTAAATTTTTCGCAGAACCTGCCATGTCCTGTAAAAACTTTTGTAACCTTTAATCTGTTCTACCTTGTTTCACATTATAAGAAAACCCTAAAGTTTCATATCAATTTGTTGTACAATTTTATTCAATCTATTTCAAACTATAAAGTAAACAAATAAACAAAAACAATATCACATATCTCGAAAAGTTGAAATCATTAACATACCATCTACAATATCTGATTTTAATGTTCTGTATCTTATGAAGATGAAAAAAGAGATATCCAATCGAAGATTAGTAGTTAATTGAAATAATAATCTGAAAACATATATAAAAATAGGTGTGGGTGTAGAGAAGAACACATGTCTACACTCACATCCTTTCTTATCAGCTACTGCTAGCTGTTAATCAAGAACTTTGAACTTATCTGGTAGAAATATTTTCTTGAGTTTACGAACAACATCGGAGTTAAAGTAGCCATTGTGTAGTAGAACCATCAATCTTTCTCTTGTTACTTCACTTTTCATGCAAGTAAAAATATTAATTTTGCTTGTCGCATAAAAACTGAAAGTATCTGGATTTATTTCATCTTATCGATAAATTCACAAGTGAATACTTTAAACAAGGTGCAAATGTTTTATTGATCATTAATCCTCATTCTGATCGAAAAGATTTAACTTCGAACTAAATTCAGAAGAGAGTGTAAGCCTGTTTTTATTTTTTCTGTTTGATAAAGATAGGTAAATTAAAAATGACATTATCAGTAGAAAGAGCATTCAAAACATCATAAAAATACTGATTAAGAATACTTTATTTCTTTTTTCAAGCCAAAAATAAAAACAAGGAGAACAGAAATCACCAAGAAACTATTGTGTAAATATATAGAAAATGATCAAAAGGCTAATTTATTTTCTTTATAACTCATCAACGGTAATAGATAAAACCATCATTCGAGTCAAACATATAGATCATGATCGATGGATACTTTGATATCAACTTCGACCAATATAAACAAAAAAGCGATTGAGAAATTAATTTTGATACCGAAGTAGTATTACAGACATCAAAATTACTTATATATACATTGTATTAAACAATTTGACAAAGCAGATTTACTTAGCTTCATTCTTCCCATAAAAATGAATCAGCAACACTTTTTTGATCTAAAGAAAAGAGAGTAAAACATTCAGAAAAAGATCAAAATCAAGTTGAATTATCATACAACAGCTCATCTTCTTCAGATTGCAATGCCTTTTCAAATGGTGGTAGGAAGCCCATTTTTAACTTTCCATCAACTTTGTAATGGCCAAATTGAGATAGATTACCCAATTTTTGCCCATGTTGAACGCCATATCTTGCAAATTCCATCACAAGATCTTCATACGAACTTTTATTCTTCATCCATTCTTGCCAGTTCTTCATATTTTCCCATAGCTGTAAGGCATCAAAAGCAGCTTGACTCGCGCCAGCACCAGTATGTGGTCGAAATGCAGCCAATGCATCGCCGAGTAGCACGATTCTACCACCATAATAAGTTGCTTGTGGGGCAAGAACATCAGTGATAACTTGAACGATAGGCGACTGCGTTATGTGAACTAACTGTGCAAATTGAGGTGGAAGATTATGAGTCGCATATTGTTTTTGATTTTCCCACACTTTAAGCTGAACTTT